CGAGCGGGATGTTCAATCGATTTCGCTCCTCCCGACGATCGATGTAGTAGTCGGATTTCCTCTCTCGGCGCGCATGCCTAGAAAGCAGTGTATACTTCCATATTTTAGCTGAAGATTCGTCCGATTTTTGCTTATTCCATCGAGCAAAGTAGTGTGAGGCAGCCCGCGAGGTTGGAGACTTACCGCCGGGGGCGCGCGCCTGAAGGAAGACCGGTACCACCTTGACAGGAGAGGGAAACGGACAAGGGGGGGTACGAACGACAGAGGATACATAGCTGCGAGAAACAGAGAGAGAGAGCGCACACACACAAACACACAGAAAAGGAGGAGATGAGCTCACTCGTTTGTTGGGATCCGGTTTAACTCGCCGTCTTCATCCCCTCGGTCGTGGCTGTGGTCCCCTCCCCGTGCGGTCTTTGCCTGAGTATACCTGACCGTGCACACTGTCAAGCACTTTTAGATATGGCAAGGTACTGCAGAGGGAGAAAAACAGGGTAAGACTAGGCTGCGCACGGAGCAGCAAACAAGGGGGGGGGCAGACTGCAGAGCTAAAGGATTGCCTGCTGGCGGGKGGGKGGCCATCATACTGATTGAGGTGGAGGGGCAGGTGAGCAGCAGGCTTACCTGCTGGCTGATGCAATGTCCGACTCATTGAGCAAAGCTGCAGTAGACCAGTTGTGGGGACTGCAAATCACTGCAGACCTGTCTGCTGACCAGTGTGCCCCTCATCCTAATCAACCTACGTAGCAGCAGGTCAGCCGGGAGAAAACAGGCTTATCTGTTACTTGTATACTTCAAGTCACGAACCGGGGATAGACTAAGCTCGAAAAATGGGGTACTGCGGCAGATCTGGGAAGTCATCGGAGAATCGACAGTTGACAGTTTGGCGTCAGTTGGCCAACAGAAAAATTCCCACGAGAAATGAAAGTTGAAAAAACATTTTATAAAAAAAAAATCCTTCATATTTATAAATTATCATTCCAATGTTCGTAAATTCTAAAATTTTCAGTTTGATTTGATAAGCTCCCGTCTAAATATGAGTTTTCCCTTCCAACTACATCTACTTGTCCAAGATGGAATGAAAGTCTGGACAAGTTTATGAAATATTTTAATTAAATTTTCAATCCACTACAACAAATATTTTTTAACTTAGATTGGATTAACCTATTTATGACTTAAAATCCTTACTTAGAATGACAATCCAATTAAAATATTTCATGAACTCATCCAAACTTTCATTCCATCTCGAGCATGCAGTCAAAATAAGAAGGGATACCCCATTCTTGGAATGAAAGTTTGCAAGTAAGATGAAAAATTTTAAAATTGGAATGACATTTTTTAAGATGGAATGAAAATTAAAAATTTAGATTGTAATTTTACTATAGAATGATTATTTAATTCTAGGAAATTTTTTTGTTGGCCAGGCTGCAGAGTGTTTTGGCCTTCATTGCGGGCCTCTTAGGCGTATAAAGATATTGAGTCCCTCTCCTGGGAGTTGAGTCAGTCCCCCTCTTGTATCTCGAGAGTCTGAAACCCCTCATCCTGCCCTTCTTACCCTAAGTCTAATCCTGTTCTGAGAGGAAGGCGACAGGTGGGATTGCAACCCGTAGGACTGCAGCAAGACTTTGTGGGGAGTCAGCCCACCGATTGCGGAGCTCTGCCGGAACTCAGGAGGAGTTCTGGAGGCAGGGAACTAAGAGGTAACCATTGTTTTCCCTCTATAAACCCGGTTATAACCTCTATCTGTACTTCTTGCTATGATTGACTGAGTGTACTACCTGCCTCCCTTACTTTGACTTTCAGTATTGACTTTCATGACACAATTCAAACTTAAATAAAAAAATAATTGTGCAATGTCAGTTTCAATTTATTGTTTAACTGAAAGCAGATTGTGGGATTATAACCGGGGGAAGGATGGGAGAAAGACTGTTTTGCTTGAGCCTGACTGGGTCAACCAAAGGCTGGAAGAGTCTCCATAAGATGGATAGCCCAGTACTATGTTTATTTTCGATTGCATGAAGGACCAGACAGGTTCCCATAAGTTTTGGTGGTCTGGTTGCTCTGACTTGCGAGGGCTGACTGTGATTGACTTTTCAGGGACCAAGCATTTTCCATAAGTTTGGGTGGCTTGGTCGCCTTTTTTACTTTGGGTTTCTTTCATTTTCTTTTGGTTCTGAACGAGGAGGTCTGAGCATGTTCCGTGAGTTTGGGTGACTCAGCCTCTTCATGCTTTGGCTTTAAGAAAAAGAACCAAGTTGAGTACCAAACATGTTCCATAAGTTTGGGTGGTCCTGGTTCAATGTCACGCACATGCTGGAACCAAAAGGTTATAACTTGGCTATATTTTACTATTATTTTATCTATGAACAGGCTAGTCAGACAGTGTTTCATAAGTTTAGGTGATCTGACTATAGCTAATCATAACTAGAGAAAATATCAACTAAGAATAAATTTGTGGTACGAGCTGAATCTTGAGCTAAAGATGATTGGTTCAGTCATATGCTACCTTAAAAGAGTAAGTGTAGATAATTATATAAAATTTTGATACTTAAACAACTCAGGGCGATTAGGGTGACCTAGTCATTTGCTCAAAGAAGAGAAAAGTTGTTGTGCCCTTTGTTTGTGTATATTCAATGGTTGAGCTAGACATGTTTCATAAGTTTTTGTGGTCTAGCTTGATGCCTTATGTAAGTTGGGTATAAAGGTATAAATCATTGAAAGACTACGAACTATTGTTTATCCAGGTTGACTTGAGGATGGTGAGAGTACTTACCTTTGTAGTTTGGTCTGCATGTGGTTGAGTGAGACTACTATTTCGTATGAGTTCCTGTTCAATAGGTAGTTGCTTTAGTTGTTCGCCACGTGCTAGAGTCATAGGAGTTAGTTTTAATTCCTGCATTTTCTGAGCTAAGTTTATTTTTACTTAGGTCGATTTCTGTATTTTCTGGGATCATTTATTATACTTGGTCTTGTATAAATTTTGGTAAGTCACTTTCTCTATGGAAAGCACTGCCAAAATTTCTACAAAACCAAGGAGTTAGTCAAATTTTATCTTTTTCATGGTCAAGTTTTTTTGAATTTTTGACTTAGTAAAAATATGAAAAACCTCATTTTTCTAAAAAGAGTGCTGCTCAAATTTTTGTTAATTCAGGGAATTAGACAAAATTGGACCTTGAGAAGTCAAAGTCATTTTAGATTTTGAACTTAACTTTGTATAAATCTTGGAATATCACTTTCTCTACGGGAAGCGCTGCCGAAATTTTTACAAATCTAAGGAGCTAGTTAAATTTTGTCTTAGTTGAACTCAGGTCTTGTTTCTGAGTTCATATCTGACTTGGTATAAAGCTGGGAAGTCTACCTTTTTAAAGAAATTGCTGCCCAAATTTTTACTAATTCAGGGATTTAGACAAAATTTGACTTTCCAGAGTTAGAGATTCTTTTTGTTTTCATATTTGAGTTAGTATAAATTTTGAGAGGGCACTTTTCCTATGGGAAGCGCTGCCGAAATTTTCTTAGTTTAGAGGAGTTATTTTGATAGGTGGCAGGTCTGACAATCCACTCTGTGTAGAGGAGATTTTGTCAAAAGTCTACCTTTTTATTGGACACTGACTTAGGGATAGACTCAGGATTGGTTAGGTAGAATGATTCTAGGTGAAACCGTGATATGGAGATTACTTTTGATTTGGACTCATAGATTTAGCTTGGGGATTGGTCTAGCTTGTGTTACAGGTCCTCTTTAACGTTTGATTCGAAGTCAGGACTAGATTCGACTTGATCCAATAAGGATCACCTTCTGTTATCACTGATAAAATGTCGGTTGTTGATTCGTCGGTCTACGACTCAACTCCAATTCATCCTCTATACTCAACCAAAAATGTTTTAACTCTGGTGATTTTTATTGCTTTATTAAGTTTTTCACTCGGACTTTTATTGAATGACCGTTTAACAAAGGTACTGAGTATTTAATTATGGTTGGTTGGAGAAAGGGTGAGGCTTGCATGGCTAAAGCGAGGGGTATGAGTATAGAGAGTGGTTGAAGTTGACTCCGAGTAGTGCGTTAATTTTTGGTTGACTTTTTGATGTGATTGCAAGTATGTTCTGTGGTTCAGATTTTGGATTTGACTGTCTGCGATCACACATATATAAAGGCTGTGAGGAGTCCCACTGTGATTGTGAAAAATGATCGTCACACACTTATACCTCCCTTTACATATATATATGTATGTACCTACATGTCGAGATTGAGAAGAGTGTTTCTTAAAGATTTCTTAGTCGGACGTTGGTCCTGGGCCTGGATTCGAGGTCCTTGTCCAGGACATCCCAGGTCCTAGACTCTGCATGGAAGGGATCAGCCCCCGTGCAGAGCCTATTAGCCCTGCCTGCCGGGGCACTCAGCCTAAGGGCCGAAGGTGCCGTGGAGGCCGCACGGCTATTCCTTCAGTCGTGCAATATCGTGAAGGGGTATTCATACATTCCTAGTCGATATGGGAAGACTCTGCGCCCGCGCGGTTTTATACTAAGTCTCGCACGCGATGCCTATCCGATTTCCGCGTCGGAGCGTTATGGGATGGCTACTACGAGACTAAGAGTGTTGTCGCATTGTTTGTTCTGTGTCGTTTCGTGTACATGTATGTGGGTGTGTTTTTATTATTACGCTCTTTAGAGTGGTGTGCACGTGGTGTGGGGGATGCGTCCTAGTCGACCGACGACGAGTCGCGCTTGGGACCTCAACCCCCCAAGATGTCGATTCGCGTGCGGGTCCGATAGAGGCGTAAAACTGCACGTACCCCCTATGCTACAATGTATGAGAAACATCCTCGACTGGTCCACCTCTGCGATTGCAACTGATTAACTTTCGTATTGTGGACTGGTAGCTCGGCGGGGATACACCCACCGAAGGAAGGTGACAACTCCCGCAAGGTGGAGGTAAGTCGTGCCTCGCGTAGGCCCTATCCTGTCGTAGGGGCTCGCGAGAGGTATGGCTGGCGCACTCGGTCGAAGCGGCTTGCAGAAGCTTCATGTGTATTCGTGACGAGGATTAATACCAACTCCTGAGTGACGCGGCCGGGAGGGTCCCGACCCGTTTTGTGCGGTGCCGGACCGATGCGCTCGACAGCGTATAGGTTCGCCACTTCGCAGCGTCGAGGCAAGGAGCTTCTAGGGGCCTATACATACTACCTACACATAACTCACAAAGACACTGGTAGAGGTGGTAAGAGCACCTCCCACTAGTATTCACTTCGCAGATGCTCCATGGTAGGGAGCAGCGTCTGCTACGGCTCCACGCACAGGGGGCTTATACATACTACCAACACAGCTCACACAGGCACTGGTAGAGGTGGTAGGAGAACCTCCCATACACATAGCCTACAGGCAGATACCTACAATACCGAACACACACATATATACATAACCATAGGGCTGGTGGGAGGTCACGACCAACTAATAATAGGCGTCTGAATGATAAGAGGGGCGTGAGTTACTAGTCGGTCTACTTAGGGGTTAGTAGGTCATTGCTTGAGCCTGGCGTCCGAAGTTCCCGTATGATGAGGCTCGTTCGACTGCGCTTCCACCAGGCCTGGGTCACTAGCCCAGGTGCTTGTCACTACTGTTCGGTCCAAATCCCTTCGATGGTAGGGTAATGGTCCTGAGTGCTGGTCACACTGAGGTAAGATAATAGGAATAGGCGGTGCGCTAGGAGTATTGAGGCGAGGATGGGATGGGAGGTAGCCTCGTCTCTTCAGACCAACCATGGCTGATAACTTCCCGCGATCAATGTGATTATAGTAATTGGCCTCCACAACACCCTGGACTTATATAAAAAAAAGGGTGAAAAAAAAAACAAAAAAAAGGAAAGAAGTGAAAGGCAAAAATAATTTGATTTCGTGGTAATGAATCGTTGGAGTCGTTGGAATCACCTCATAACGGTGCTGGCAATGACGATGATGATGATGATGATGATGATGATGATGATGACGATGACGATAATAATGGTGATATGAATCACTGAAATCAGAAGACTGGGAATGAAGAAAGGGAAGATGATAACCCAGGTCTGGGCGGTACAGTCTATTGGGATAAGACAAGGAGCGACGACAACAGAGTAGATTTGAAAGATTCCAACGACATGGAAGCCATTGAGCAGGAGGGTGAAGACAACAGTGTCCAAAAACCTCGTAACCAGCAGGGGAGGAAACGGGATTGGAGAATTCCTTGATGTGGAGAGAGAGAGAGAGAGAGAGAGAGAGAGAG